GGTATAAGATTCTTCCTGTTAAAAATAATTGAGCCTCTGTGGACCTGCATTTCCATTATTCTCAATGGAAACTGGGATAACTACCCTCAGCCTTGTCACTTAAAGCAGGGATAGAATATACACCGAACAGCTCTATTTATCACTGAGGAAAGTACATTTTCACCAAGAAAGAAAAAAAAAAGTAGAAAAGATGTACTACCGAATGTACCAATTTCATATGACTTGGCCCTTCCAGCATTTCCGAGTTCATGAACATGTAATCCTTCACAGCCCTTAAAGGCTTTCTCTCTCTTTCTCCTTCTTATCTCTTTACATTTTACAATCCCAGATAAGTTGCTATGCCAAGTATGTTCAACACTGCACCTTTATTTCACATCTCTGGTCCTCTGTCTCCCTAATCTCTGACTAACACCTGCCTTTTAGGGCAGAATGTGTGATCAGACTTTTCCACTCCATGTGTGCATTTTGCTACTTGCTTGTCTTATTTTCCTTGTCACTGCTTACTATCTGGGGGCTTAGAAGAAAATCTGCTTCTAAGATGGCATTTCAGGAACAACTTAAGATGGGCTTTGCTTCCTGTTATTTGAATGCTGCTGCCGCTATAGCAACAGGAGGGAGAAATGGAACTCCATCTTCCATCTCTGGTTAACAGCTAACATCAGGCTGGATGACTGTTTACAAGCCTGCTTATTAAGAATTTAAGTATCATTGGGAAAAATAAATAAAACAGCATCCACAGGCCGCCTTAAATGTTACATAATCTTGATTTATTGTCTGCCTTTCACATGCAGCACAGACAAAAAGATTGTAATTTCACCATGCTTTCATATACAGCACAAACAAAAAGGCTGTAATTGCACAGCTATATTACATGGGGGAAATGATTTGGACTGCTTAAAGAGAGATGTTTACAGTAAGAACTGGGATTCCTATAGACGAGGGAATGAACTTGTGCTTTTTTGGCTGGAACATCTCAGTAAGCCATATGATTTGACTAGGGAACTACTGATACTTTCTAAGGACAAGAAGTTTTGTTTAAAAAGTTATATTAATACTTCTAATTTCTTGTGGATTTAGCATTTTCTGCAATACGCAAAGCTGTCAGTGAAATGAAAACACATGACAGGAAGGGCATACAACATTTGCCTTGTCTGGTGTCAAGAATATGTTTTTGTGGCTGGAATTTAGTTCATCAGACACATGTAGACATCTATGCAGATATTCAGTTAGACATGTCAATTAGGTACGCTCTCTGGCTGAAGACTGACAGCTCATCTACAATGCTCTTCTTTTTATGGTATTTGACATGCTTTGGAGAAGAGGTTGAAACAAAATAAAATTGTTTTATTTTTTTTTCAAAGAAGTCATGAATTTCTGAAGTCTGGCCCAATGCAAGACTCAGCCACTTAGTTTTTCAGTGGAAAATGTTTGATATTTTTCATATAGGACTCACTAAAGAATCATATCTTGAAGTACCACCTGTATTTGTTGTCATCCTACAATTATGAACACATTGTATATTAGAGATGTGTGTGATACTTGTTTCTCCCATTTCATTTGTTCTTTTGTTCCTTTTGCTTTGGGCCGGAGCAAAAACAGCCCCCCCCCCCAAAAAAAAATGAAAATTAGCTTGAAATGAAAGAAAGCAGGAGCAGGTATTGTTTCCTTGCCTGCTTTGTGCAAGCACAGTTTTAATCTTTATTTTTAATCCTTAGCAAAAAAAAKCTAAACCCTCATTTACTCTCCTCTTCCAGGAGMCCAGCACTCTTCCTTGTCTGAAAGTGGGGAGACTACTGAAAATGCCTTGGAGAGTGTGTAGCTCCTCCTCCCTCCTCCTTGGCTCTTGGAGCAGCCATCTTGGGTCATTTGTTGTTGCTGCTGCAGTGCTGSCTCCATCTCTCWTGCGAGGAAGGCACCTCCTCCACCCCCCTCCTCTTCTTCTTCATACCTTTTACTCTAGAGCAGTGCTTCTCAACCTTGGGTCCCCAGATGTTTTTGGTTTATAACTCCCAGAAATAGCAGCCAGTTTCCCAGCTGTTAGGATTTCTGGGAATTGTAGGCCAAAAACATCTGGGGACCCCAGGTTGAGAACCACTGCTCTAGAGTAAGCCAGACAGCAGCAGCAATGACCCAAGGAATCAGTGGTAGCTCCAAGATCCAAGGAGGAGAGAGGAGAAGGGTAATAAATCCAAGGAGGAAGAGGAGAAGGGATGGAGGTGARTTCCTTTCATGAGAGATGGAGGAGGAGAAGGAGGGTGCCTAGCACAGCAGCAATAGCAGCAAACAAGGACCCAAGGTGGCAACTTCAAAACAAACCATGCCATTGCCAAAAATGATGGGAAGGAGAGCTGAATTCTCTCTCTCTCTCTCTCCCCCCCCCCCAATTGCCACTAGTTAAAGAAGAAGCAAGTGGGGCTGGGCATTGGGCGATGTGTGTGGAACATCATTTGGCAGGAAGAATGGTGCCCTGCCTGCCTCTTTCCTTCTGCCGCTCCTGGAGAAGTTAGAAGGTGGGGCCAGTGGAGGAAAAGAGGTAATGTTTTTAGGGAGATTTTATTTATAGTAACAAAAAAATCCTAAAAATCAGGGGATGATCCAAACACATTAAAACTTGGTGGGCTAAGGTTATATATGTGCCCTCCATGTGTGGCAATTTTCACCCCTCTAGCCCTAAAACTGAGGAAAAGGGGAGCCTGGAAAAGCTGCCCATTTTGACCAATGGTCTGTTTTTTTTTTGGACCTGCCTGGAACAAAAACGTTCATTCCCATTTTTGGGAGAGGCACTCAAAAATGAAAGCAGGGCATTACGAATGAAACAAACAGAAATGGATAGTGATTCTATAAAAATGCACAAGACTACTGTATATGGTTGTGTTGAAACATTACTTTTTTTCTTGCTCTTAATGGGGGTGAATTGATTACATGCCATAATACGGCTGGGGTCTTATCATGCTATATTGGAATCAACTTGAACTGGGTACTTGACCATTTCCATTATATTGTGATGTTCTTCTCATGTATATTTGCCGAATAATAAAAGTATTACTTCTAAGGGCAGTATTGATTTTTTTTCTCATCAAACTAATTTCACAAGTGGTCCCACTATAACATCTCACCATTTTCTTAAGCTAATATTATGTGCACCCCTGCATTGTTAAGGCTGTATGTTTGTGAAGTGCATGCAAATAAATATGCTGAAGGAAATAAAACCTAAGAGATTTACAGGCCTTCTAGCAGAATTATTTTTTTGGGGGGGGGGGGGTAATTAGTCCAAGTAGTGGTGAAATTCTTATGAAAGAAACCCCCCCTGCTTAGCACTGAGTGATTTTTCATTGCTGTCAGACTGCACTAAGATCTGCCTCTCTATCTTACTTGTGTCTTGGTGTATTGATTACTAATCTTTCAAAACAAGAGAAATCGCATCATTGGCACAAATATGTCTATAGCTCATGGGATATTTGGTAAGCCTCTTAGACTGCAAACTGATTTCCACTCACCTTTGCATTAAATGTGGTTAATGAAAACCCTGTAAAATTGTTACTGTGTACATGTACTTTTCATGCATTAAATCAACAAATGTAAACCTGAACCAAACCTGTGTAGACCTGGATAGCACTACCTTATTGTATATATGGGAAGGTCACAATTAGTATCCCAGGTCTCATGCCTCTGGTTGATTTCCTCATGGCTTGGTCAATTATTTGATTTTTACCTCAATAACAACAGATGAAAGAGAGAACCATGAATTTTATTTGGAAAAGAGGAATGAATGGCAATGCATACCTGGACAAATGTAGAATGGTACTCTTTTGATTACTTTAATCTTCAGAGGCCAGGGGACTATGCATGTAGCCCAAGGAACCAAAATGCATCATGTGATGGGGGTTAGTCATATATTGTTTAAGGACTGGCCACTCCCTTGTTTGTCTTTTTGGATCATTTTTGGATCCTTGCAGTGTGCCCCACCCTTACACCCTCAGTGCAGTGGGAATTTTCTGGTTGTTTTGGGGCTAGATAGGAATATTCTCTTAGAATCATAGAATCGTAGAGTTGGAAGAGACCTCATGGGCCATCCAGTCCAACCCCCTGCCAAGAAGCAGGAAAATTGTATTCAAAGCACCCCAGACAGATAGCCATCCAGCCTCTGTTTAAAAGCCTCCAAAGAAGGAGCCTCCACCACACTTCGGGGCAGAGAGTTCCACTGCTGAACAGCTCTCACAGTCAGGAAGTTCTTCCTAATGTTCAGGTGGAATCTCCTTTCTTGTAGTTTGAAGCCATTGTTCTGTGTCCTAGTCTCCAGGGCAGCGGAAAACAAGCTTGCTCCCTCCCTCCCGCTCTATGACTTCCTCTCATATACTTATACATAGCTATCATGTATCCTCTTAGCCTTCTAAGCTATCCATTTTGGTGATGGGTAGGTCTCTGGAATGGCTTCTACAGTTTCTGGGACCTGGTGAGATGCAAAAGGGGTTGACTCTTGAGACTAACATTTATAATGCTCTCATTTATAATGCCATGGGAATTGTTCTGAGTTTTCAGGAAGTGAATGACAGGGGAGTAACCCAACTATTGGATTTCTCTCCTCTTGTGTTTGGTTCAAGGGAAGGATGAGAGGGGTAGTCTGAGGTAGACACCTGGCCTCAGTTCGGCCTGCATTTCATTGCCCCCCCCCCCCATCCTTTCTCCTTTCACACCCAATTACTTCAAATACAGTGGCCCCTTTTAGACCAACTTTCTATTCCATAGTTGGCCATCAAAAGAGTATTTTCCTAGAGTATACTTATGATCAAGATGCACAATGAAGCAATGAGATAGCTGATTATTTTTTTTTTAAAAAAAACCCTGAAAAAGAAACAATGTTGCTTCACCCACTCCCACAGATTTTATATTTATTTTCTCATTTGCAGCTGAGTAAGCAGAAATGCCATAATGTAGTGCTCTTTAAAATAGTCTACCCAGCACAGTCATTAATATATTTCCTTGAAACAACAACAGCTTACCAGATGTTTCATCAACTCTTTCATCTACCACATGGTCCTTTTGGTGAACCCATTCACTGTTGCATTTGAAGTAGATCTGGGTAGCTGGGCTAGCTTTACAGTAAAGGTTCACAGGCTTGTTCTTCACAATGTAGGCTTCTTCAGGCTCAATGAGGAAATGTGGAAGGGGCTCTGGAGGATCAGAAGGAAAGCTTTCTGGGAGCTCATGAAAAAAGTCATCATCTGTAAGAAAGAAAACAAAGGGAAACATTAATGAACAGTTAATAACCCTAAAATTTAATCCGATCTAGATAAATGATTTTAAGCTTTTATTTCAAGGGACTATAAGTGACATAACTACAATAGAGACTCTAATCCTTATATAAATAACACCAATCATTAGAAGATTACTCTATGAAGGCTTCAAATAAATCTTTTGTGAAATTTGGCAAATTTAAGAAAGCTTTGCTGCCTTAATGGCTGTCTATTTATATAACACATGCAAAATTACAACAAAATAAGCAAAGAGGCCAATTTATTTTCCCAACAGCACGATTTACTGGCTACCAATTATAAAAAATATTGGAAGCAACAATGTAGACTTTTTACATTGGACTTGTAGCTTATTGGTATCGCAAAAAAATCTAGATAATTATTCTTTTTAGATTAGCAACACTGATTTAACTTTAGTAATGATAAGCAAGGATTTGCATTGTTGTATTAAGCTGTTTAACACTGTTCCAAGCACTCATTCTCTTTTCACAGTATGGTTCATCAGTAGAAAGAGTGATAAATGTTAGTATGTTACTACTGTGGGATATGACAGCTGATTAAGTACAATCTGGTCCTATGTCATCTTAAATCAAAATCCACAAGGCATTAAAACTACGTAAGTATTAACCATCTCATCCAATAGGAACCATCTCATCCAGTAGTTCATGAATACAGTATTCTGATTCAAGTTCCTAATCAATAGTACCTTTTAATCTTTTTATATATACAGAATATTTCTATATGAGTTTATAGAACCATTTCAATGAAATGCTAACATGTATCCTTGGCTGCAACCTCATACTTAGAAAATTAATTGTCATCAATCTCTTTCACAAGTTTCATACATGTATGTTCAAGTTTGTTATGCTTCAAATCTCCAAGATGCTGAATGCTACCAGATGATAACAACAGGACACCTGCATGTGGAGACCTTGGAGAAAAATCGCCATGTGAATGCTTTTGCAAGGAGATGTAGAAGGTTCTTCATTAGAAGTCATTTCTAATGCAGAGCAATGAAATGTGTCCAATTGTAAGGAGCCCTTGAAGAAGTGGGACAGGTCTCTGTGAACTAGGACTATAGCCACATAACTCAACAGGGATGACTGAGGAAGAAGCATCCTTAGAAAAAAAAATGATCTGATCTTCTAAGGCCAGAGGTCTATCATTATCATTCATTTAACTTGATCCATATCTATGAAAAAATGCTGTTACTGTATTCATGATTATTTCCTAAATTTTGATATTTCTTTTTCATTTTTACTTCCAGAACAGTCTGAGTTTGATGTGGTTAGGTAGGTAACAGAATAGGATGGAGTCACTTACATGACCAGATTGAGAGTACTGTATGTGTATATTTGTAGATATATATGGTGTATATGTGATGGATATCCATTTTCATAAATACTACCACCTACTATGGCTACAACTCATTTCAATTCCATGTATAGATATCTCTTTTAATGCTCTGAAAATCATATTTGTATAACTAACAGTCTTGTTATATGTTCTAATAACAACTGTTGGGCTTTTTTCTTGGTATGTTAAAAATGAATGAAGTAAGTTTTACATAGAGGAACCAGCAAAGCCGATGGAAATGAACTGAATTTCCAGGCAAGCTTGTTGTTGGAATCTTTGAAACACTGACATTAATTCTGTTTTTTAAAGAGGGGAAATTATCACACTTCACTTGCATAAGCTCTTTGCATTGACTTTAAACTCTTCTTGTCGATATGCAGGAACACTTGAGATACCCAAGACAAACCTTTCTCACAATGGTAAAAGGATGAGGGAGCAGTAACTATTGACAGATCTATCAGTAAGAGGCTGACAATCCTGAAGGCCTTATTCAATCTCTTCCTTTCTGCCTCTGAAGCAGTTATCGTTATACGCAGTGACGGACGCCGGTGATGATCAATAAAGCGCCACAGAATATCAAACTAAAAATACTGCAGAAAGTTAGCTCTCCTCATCACGTCAGTCTTCGTGAAGATTAAATGTCAGACAACTACCTTTCTTTACCCTAGATATACCTATATTTTCCTCTGTCCAGAATTACAAAGGATATGAAAGAGTTTTCCTGCAGCCACAGCTCTTGTAGAAAGACAGATAAAGAACAAACAATTATAGATGAAAGGGATTGGATAGATTGCTACCATGATATCTATCTTCATAGCTAGAATTACACCATGTCTTTATTGGACATGGGTAAATTGAGAGGTTTGTGGTTTCATGGACCTCCACTGCATCACAACCTATATTAGAAGAATACAAACGTTTCTACAGTCATTTAAAGGCACAGTCTTTAACCATTTATAAAACCAAGGCTAGTTTCTTAAATGGATTCTAATGAACACAAATGCAAGAGTCAAGACCACTGTAGCCAAAGTCAAGCACAGGAAAAATTGGATAAACAATTAAAAATAAATATTGTTTTTATTGAATAAAACCTACACAAAATAAAAACTGAATGAAGCATACAACAACAAAAGTACTAAAAAGATGACACACAAAACAACCGAATGGATGCAAACATAAACCACCAAAATATAGGAAACAACAATTAACAAAATAAATGGGGAGTGACTTTCAATGAAAGAAAATATACCTTATCTATATATTGAACTGATATTACCTAACAAAACCATCAATCATCACATCAAATCATTTTTGTCATAAAGTTAGTCAAATATGACTAATTAATTATTTTAAATCAAAATAGCGCCTGTTATGGATGTCAAAAGGAAACATTAGAATGTGGACTGGTCGTCACATATGTACATGCACAAAAAAGTCAGAAATGAATCAGAGGACACATTTATTTCTTCTTCTATCATTTAATTGCAAATCAGCCATTTTGATTCACTGCTCCCCAATACATGTATTGAAGATAGTGCTCATCATCTTACTATCCAGGTAGTACCCTCAAGTTGGTCTCTAGTGACCAGAGTGCTGGTTTTTCCAATTCATGATACATTGAGTTATGGCAAGGGCCCTTGTCTTAAAGCAGCGTTTCTCAACCTGGGGGTCGCGACCCCGGGGGGGTCATTAGGCCATTTTCTGGGGGTCGCCAAGGTGCCTTGGCTGGCCCCGCCCCCTCCAAAATGGCTGCCAACTCCCGCACCCAGCCACATGGCACTCCTGGAAGGCTCCTCCTTTTGCTCTTCCCACAGAAATGTGGGTAGTCAGGAGGAGCAGCTTTGGAGGCAAAGGAACGGGGGAAGAAGACCCTTTGTTAGACTGCAATGTGAGTAAAACTCTTCATGCTGTCCTCATGCCTGGCCATCTGTTCACCATGGGAATTCTCTGTGCCAAGTTGGAGTGCATTGCATGGCTGCATGAGTTCAGAATGCTTTGGGATGGGAGAGGACTATATATCCCAGCAGTTCCAAAATGCCAAGGTCTATGTATCACAGTTATCTCCAGTATTTTCTGTTCACCATGGGAATTCTCTGTGCCAAGTTGGAGTGCATTGCATGGCTGCATGAGTTCAGAATGCTTTGGGATGGGAGAGGACTATATATCCCAGCAGTTCCAAAATGCCAAGGTCTATGTATCACAGTTATCTCCAGTATTTTCTGTTCACCATGGGAATTCTCTGTGCCAAGTTGGAGTGCATTGCATGGCTGCATGAGTTCAGAATGCTTTGGGATGGGAGAGGACTATATATCCCAGCAGTTGCCAAGGTCTATGTATCACAGTTATCTCCAGTATTTTCTGTTCACCATGGGAATTCTCTGTGCCAAGTTGGAGTGCATTGCATGGCTGCATGAGTTCAGAATGCTTTTGGATCCCAGCAGCTGAATTGATTGAAGGTACTGCAAATCCCATCATCAGTTATCCATACTCCCCTAAACATATTGTTTTTGTGATTAATCACTATGCTTTAATTAGGTTCAATTTGTAACAATGAAAATACATCTTCAATATTAGATATTTGCATTAGAATTCATAAGAGTAGCAAAATTATTTATGAAGTAGCAACGAAAATATGGTTGGGGGTCACCACAACACGAGGAACTTTATTTGGGGGTCACTGCATTAGAAAGGTTGAGAACCACTGTCTTAAAGGATGATTTTCCTCCCAGACTGATTTACTACAAAACACAGCTGACTTTGCCAAGTCACACATAACAGTTAGGCAGTGAATATTATATGCCTCTCCCAAACATCTGAAAAAACTATCAGGGTGTTCCCCCATTTTAAAAAATCAAGGGAAATTTAATTCATATTCCCTGCCACTGTTCAGTATGGTTCAAGTCCAGGCTATTTGGCCAATCGTTTCCCTTGTACAAACCTGTCTTCGCCCTGAGATTTTCAGGAGAAGTCCTTCTCTCGTTTCTACCTCCATCTCAAGCTCGCTTGGTGGGAACAAGAGAGAAGGCCTTGGTGGCTGCCCCTTTTCTCTGGAACCTTTTTATTCAGGCAGGCTTTTAAAGATAAGGAGGTTCAAGATCATCAAGAGCTGCTGTGATTTTGTGATGTGATTTTATATGTTTTTATGGTTTTAATATTGTTTTAATATTAATGTTGTTCAATACTGTTTCAATGTTTGCATATTTCAGGTTGTACAGAACTGCTTTTAATTGTGAGCCGCTTTGAGTCTCTGTATGGAGAGAAAAAGCAGGATATAAATAAACAAAATAAATAAATAAAAATAAATAAACCTGAGCAGTCAAAATTACTTATTATTATCTACTGAAATCTTCCATTGGCAGGAAAACTGAATGTACACTAATATCCTTAAAAACATGCAAAGCCCCTTTTACAAACCTGAATGTTATATTTTTTCTAGGTAGCATCTTTCTTGTGGCCTTGAAAAGCTGAAACCCTACATAGCTATGATTCTGCACAAAATCTACCCATCTGACCTTTGAGGTCTCTTAGACTACATCTGCAAATGTTTGCAGTCGTCACCTCAGCAGGCAGTCAAACTTAATGGCAACTCTCTTTCTAAAAGTGTTTGATGACTA